GAGCTGGAAAGAGGACTCAGATTAAAGATATGAGCAATGGGATCAGCAATAATGTCAGCTGATATTTTCAATATAAATGGATGCAGATTATCAGGGCCTGGAGACTTTTTGTGATCAATGTCTCTCAGTGCTTTATGAACCTCTGATATTGAAATAGGTTTAAAATGAAAGAGTTCTCCATTTACATCCTCATGTTCTATTGCTGAGGTGGCTGGACATGAAACAGAATCCTTTACAGTTTGGTCAAACATAAATCCAGCCTGGATAAAGTGTTTATTAAACTGACTGACCATAGTTGCTTTGTCTTTTATTTCATCTGAACCAATAATAATCTGTTCTGGGAGGTTTGAGATCACTTGAGTACCAGACAAAGATTTAGCTGATTTCCAAAACTTTAAAGGGTTGTTTATGTTGTCTGTAAATGACTTTAAGTAAAACTCTGATTTGGACTTTCTAATCATTAGTGTAAACTTGTTTCTTAAAGCCCTAAATGCATTCCAATCAACAGATTAGTTTGAGAATCTAGCTTGTGCCCATAATTTGTTTCTCATACAAACTAGTTCTGAAAGACTATCTGAGAACCAAGGATTGTCCTTACCACTAATTCTGAACTTTTTTATTGGTACATGTTTATTTACAATGGAGAGAAAGATTGGATGAAAAAAATCACTGTGATAAAGATCATGGCAAAAGGCTTGTTGTTCAAATCTTTTAAAATGTCTTTTTAGGATAATACGGAGTTTAGCCTTTGGGATTTTAGTATCTCTTACACAAGCAACTACACAGTGGTCACTGACGTCATTACAAAAGACGGCTGTTGAGGTGTATTTGTGAACTGTATTTGTTATGATGAGATCAAGTAGGGTTGATTTAATTTGTGCTTTGGGATTTATTCTAGTTGGTTCATTAATTAGTTGCACTGAATTTAGGTCATTACACAATTCTTTAAAACAGTCAGATTTTTCTGAAAGCCAGTCCCAATGCAAATCACCCACGAGAATAAATTCAGAATCCTTTATTTGATGTAATATAGCAGATGTAGATTTGAAAGAATCTTTTGAAGCAGATGGAGGCCTTTAACAACCAACTACAGTAATATCAGAGCCCTTTGAGATCGTAACTTTGATTGCCAGGATTTCAAACTGTTTCGCTTTAGTAACTGACAGGGTTACAGAGCTTGTAAACTTAGATTTTATATATATTGCAACCCCACCTCCTTTACCGATCCGATCTATAAACTTTATATCCTTCAATTAAGATTAATTTATCCGGTACAGATTTTTTGAGCCAGGTTTCAGAAACAATAATAATATCAGTTTGTGTTGTATTTGACCAGATCTTAATCACATCCATTTTAGGGACAAGGCTTCTGACATTTAGATGTATAAAACCAAGGCCATGTCTGTTTTTGAAATCTGAAGGAGTGGATAAGGATTGCAAAGTGTTAGCAGGACCAGGATTAGGCTGAATATTACCAGACAACATCAATAAGAGCTTAATCATTCAGTGAAGTGTTTGTTTGGATGCATAATATTTATCATTATTTCTGTCCTCTATGAACTGTTAACATGAGTAATCAGAGACAACAAAATAGTAATTTAGCACCAATAGGTTCTGAAGATATAAGATCTTATTAACTTTCACTTGTAAACAGTAAGCATTGTATGGATGACAAAAGCTGATTGGTTGGTGATAAAACTCACAGACACTTGTGGGTGAAATTAAAAAATGACTATAGTTCAAATGCACAGTCATTGTTGCTCATTTTGGGGCTTTTAAGTTTGTCTAAAATAGGGCTGGCCTGTACAAGTATGAAGATGATAAAAAATAGCATGATAACAAGTTACCACGGAGAAGATGAGCAGGCAGGGCTACTAGCACCAAGCTAGGACAGAGGTTTCCAGATGGCAGGCAGGGCTAGCAAGAGCAGACTAGCAAACAGGACAGCGAGGTAGTGGCTTGCAATAAAGGCAACAAGCAGCAGGCTTGCAGAGAAACTTCCAGGAGGTAGCCAACAGGCAATGCTACCAAACAGTAGGCTAGCAGACTGGAATCCGTGTGGTGGCAAGTAGTCAGGACTACTAGCAGCAGGCTAACAAGGAGGCTTCCAGGTGATAGCTAGCAAGCAAGTCTACCAGCAGTAAGCTAGCAGATCAGAAAAATGACCAATGGCTACCAGTCAGGGCCACTAGCAGCAGGCTAGAAAGCAGGTGGTAATTAGTGGGCTTCTCAATGGTGGCAAGCAGGCAAGGCTACTAAGCAGTAAGCTAGCAGACCAGTATCCAGGTGGTGGCTAGCATTCAGTGCTATTGGCAGCAGGTTAGCAGGGAGGTACAGGCGGTAGCTTGCAAGCAAATCTACCAGCAGCAGGCTAGCAGATTAGAAATGCAACTGATGGCTACCAGATTAGGACCACTAGCAGCATGCTAGTAGGCAGGCAGTGATTAGCAGGCTTCCCAGTGATGGCTAGCAGGGAGGGCTATTAGCAGCAGGTTGGTAGACCAAGATCTGGGTAGAGGCTAGCAAGCAGGGCTACCAGCAGCAGGGCTAGCAAGCAAGGCATCCCATCCGATAGATGGCTAGCAAGGTGGGCTGGTAGCAGTTCATCCAGATGGTGGCTTGTTCATCCGTTGCTCAACAATGTTAAACAACAGGTGTCCAGTTGGTATGGTGAAATAAAGCACAGATTAGTTTGTCCCTTTTTTGGTCATGCTCCAGCAGTTGGTTTCCAGTTAGGCCAGTAGTCCAGATTCAGAGTTCATATTTGACCTTATCATCTACTGAAATAATCCCAATGTGGAGGTAATGACTTGTTCTTGAGAATTATTACTCACATGAGCTTTTAAAATATCACACAAAGTCCTAAATTTCAGATCTCAAGCACTGGGATCCAAACACGTGTGGCTTGGCTGCCATCTTGTTCTTTTGTGCAGTCCCTTAATACACGCCCAGAAATGTTTTCAGGACCAGAGGGTTTTCAGGTGTTGATCCTACAGATTGCTCTTCTCACACTGTCCTTGGACAGTTTATTCACTTGCTCCTCTGTGTGAGGTGGTGATTTCACTGTTTGTGCACTGTTCACTTTCCTAAAAGTGGGTGAGAAGCTGTTCAGCTCATTCACAAGGAGATGGATTTGTTCCAGTCTGCGGTGGGGTCTTGTAGTCCATGATTGACTATAACCCTTTCCACAGGCTGCATAGGTCTCTTCTGTCATTGAGATGGTGGGCTGTCTACCTGGAATACTGCGTCTTGGCCTCTCTGATACCTTGTGACAGATTGTTCCGTGCTGTTTATATATATATATATATATATATATATATATATATATATATAGATATATATAAAACCTAGTTATCAATCCACAGGTCTCGTCTAAATACTGGTCAATCATTTAGAAAGAACACATTCTGAGACACATACTTGAGTCTCTCATATAGATACATTTAAAAAAAGTAAAAAAAATCTACTGAACTTTGTTTCCCAGTTTGAAGACGTTTCTCTTCCCATCCAGGGAGCTTTTTCAATTCAAAATGACAGAAATAGCGTTGAGTTCAAGGCTTTGTAGATTGGACCAAAAACAAAGCCTGGCTTTGGCTTAGAAAACATGCAGATTGAACCGGTTGAACATGTCCTCCCCTTAAGAGTGGTAATTTCTTTGGATTCTTGGTTAGCTTGCATTACCCAACGCTGGTTTATTTCTCTGAAAGGGGGGCCGTTAGGGGGAACTCATGGCCTGGCTGAACAAGCGAGATATTCTGGCCCCCTTTATGGGGACGGGGGTTGCGATGACAGTGGGAAGGAATCAACTCTATTGCTGCATTGTAGGTTTTTTAAAAGCTGGAACCTGAGTCCACCCCCTCTGTTTAAGGTTGTTTTTATTTTGTTAAAATAGATGGCTTCCTTTACGCCCCTCTCAAACCACCTGTCTTCTTTTACCAGATCTGAACATTCCGGTCCTTAAAAGAATGTCCTTCTTTGGAACAACAGAACAAAGCCCCAAACATAGCTTTGCTTTTGGTCCACTGTATAAAGCCTTTCACTCAATTCTTTCATTTTGAATTGAAAAAGCTTCCTGGATGGGAAGAGAAATGTTTTCAAACTTGAAAACCAAGTCCAGTGCATTGTTTTTTTTTACTTTTTTGGAATGACTATCACTTGGATGACTGAGAGTCTTCACCTGATATATTTGTTTTAGAGTTAAAAGTGTGTTTCTGCTGGACCATATGAAGGTGTACTTCTGGAAGTTCCTAGATGTGCAGATGCCTTTGGTGCCTAGTCCCAAGCCTAACCTCAATAACTTCTACCTTGCATGCGTTAGATGTCTGTCTGTTGCTACACACGATTCAAATAATCACATGACCCCCTTAGCAGCTTTCAAGTGCTGTAGAAGTCTGTTAATCATTGATTTATATAAGTCAGATGCGTGGTAGTGAGAATAAATCTAAAACATGAAGAGCAGTGGTACTTTAGGACCAAGATTGAAAACCACAGCTGCTCCTCATTTTCTTCTTCAAATTATTACAAAGATTACTGAGCTTCTGGCCTCTTCGTAATTGATTGATTGACTTTATTGATCCAGTTATCCAACTGAAGGCAATGTTGATGTTGCCATCTTCCTCATCCGCCATTGAATCAGTGGTAAATCCTTTCCTTGTCCAGAGCACAGTGATTGTCAATGCATCAAGGATTGTGACGTATTTATGATGAAGAAAGGGGTTGAAGAGTGTGAATCTTGAAATTGCTCATTTCTCTTTACAAAGAGAAACATTTTAAATTTAGCTAAAAAAATACATTCAACTTACAAAGTTAAATGTTTCAGTTTTGTTTAATTTCTGCACTATTATTGTTTTATATCATTAACTCTCAAAGGAATTCTTAAAAGCACAGCTTACCTAGAAACTGTGCACATAATGCACGACAGATTGTCTTATTTCTAAATAGGTATTTTTAAACTAGAGATGTGTATTGATATCGCCTCTCAATATTTTTACTTTTCACAGGATGAGTGGACATGATCTTTTAGTAAAGCAATCTGTGACTCTAGAAGACAACAGGAATCCAAGAGAATTAAGTCTGAGCACCTTAGGAGCAGGATTATTCTTCTTCCTCACTTCTTCATCGCTCATATCCTTCAAAATGAGGCTAAAAGAAGACCTGAACCCAGTGTTGCTGTTCCTCTTCCACCTCATAGTGTGGGTCTACAGCACAGTCACGTTCCTGCCTTCCTACCTCCTCAGCTGGGTTTCAAGAGGCAGCAAGGATTTTTATGGATCAGAGGAGGAACGAGCCCAGAGACCTAAGGCTTCTTCGGTTCTAGGACACCCAGAGGGACCCTACAGAGCAGTCAGCACCATCAAAACACTCCTGTCATCGCTTCACCCTGGAGTGGATACGCTAGATAAGATGTTTGAGTATGCAGCCATGAGGTTCCCTCACAGAGACTGTCTTGGAACAAGGGAAGTAGTCACAGAGGAAGATGAGCGACAGAGCAACGGGAAGATGTTCAAGAAGGTATTCTGGAGGTGGTTGTTGAAGGAATCTTATCGAATGCCCATGACCAAAATCAAATAAATTATAAAAGAATACCAATAGAGTATATCTTGATAAGCTACTTGTAGTTCATCATTATCTGGGTCCTGGTCATGGGGACAGCAGTCTCAGCAGAGGCACCCAGACTTCCCTTTCCACAGACATCTCTCCAGCTATGCTGGGGGAAGCCTGAGACGTTTCCAGGCCAGCCAAGAGACATAGTCCCAGAAGCATGTCCTGTCCATCCCCTGGTCCTCTTACCAGTGGGACCTGAAACATGTTTCGAGGTGATGTCAAGGAGTCCTCCGAGCCTCTCTCACGAATGGACCAGTTCCTTACCCTCTCTCTAAGTTAGAGCCCAGCATCCCTGTGGAGAAAGCTAATTTCGTTGGCTTGTATCTGGGATCTCATACTTTCAGTCATGATTCAGGTTTAATGACCATAGGTGAGGGTCTGAACATACACCAACTGGTTAATTAAGAACTTTGCCTTTACACTCAAATCTCTCTTCACCTCAACAGAACAATAAAGCATCTGCATTATAACAAAAGGAGCAATTCAATTCAGTTCACAACACAAGTTATCTCAAGGCACTTTGCAGTTCAACCAGATCATACAGTCAAATTGATTCAAAGTTGTCTATCTACGGAAAACCAGTCGATTGCATTGACTCAAATGCAATCTCTCACACTAAGCATGCTTGTAGCGACAGTGGAGAGGAAAAACTCCCTTTGAACAGGAAGAAACCTCCAGCAGAACCAGGCTCAGTGTGAGCGGCCATCTGCTGAGGCCCACTGGGGTTCAAGGAGACAGAAGCAGACATAGAAAAAGAAGCATAGATACAAAAGGCAACTGTCAACCAGCTCCACAGGCGGCCCTGTCCAGGAAACACACAGCCAGGCAGACGAGCTCCGAGCCAGCTCCCATGTCAGAGGATGAAGAGAGCACATCCAGTTAGTCACAGTCAGAGAAACAGGACTACACTGGAAAACAGGGCAAGCTCCAACATCTAGAAACAAAGGTGTTGATGGCAGCAGCACAGCTAATATTTCTCTCCAGGATGGAGTCACAGCCAAACAGGAACAGACCAGATGAAGCTACTATGAGAAAAAGCAGACAGAGCAGAAGGTTAGAGATTGAACTAACAGATTCTGCAGAGTGGGAGAATAGAGATAGAATGAAGCAGAATGATGAAAAAGGGGTCCCTATGTCCTCCAGCAGTCTAAGCCTATAGCAGCAGAACTATAGAAATAGCTCAGGATAACCTGAGCCACTCTAACTAGAAGCTTTATACCTGAAATTTCTCTCCAGGATTGAGTCACAGCCAAACAGGAACAGATACTTGAAATTAATCCCATGCTGTCTAATAATTCTACCGATTGGGAGCATATATATAGTAAAGACAATTGGTCCTAGCACTGATCCCTTTGGTACTCCACAGGTAACCTTTGAGCATGAGGAAGATTTAATTTTAATGTGAACAAACTAACATCGATCAGATAAGATTTAAACCAGTCTAGAGCTGTTCCTTTAATTCCTACAAAATATTCAAGTCTTTCTAAAAGAATATTATGATCAACTGGATCAAATGCAGCACTGAGATCCAACAGGACGAGCACAAATCCATTATCTGAGGCCATGAGAATATCATTAGTGACTTATACCAGAGCTGTTTCAGTGCTATGATGAGCTCTAAAGCCAGACTGAAACTTTTCAAAAAAATTGGTCACACACTTGCTTGGCAACTACTTTCTCAAGAATTTTAGATCAGAAAGGAAAATTGGATATAGGTCTATAATTGACCAAGTCATCTGGGTCAAGAGACGGTTTCTTAAGCAGAGGTTTAATTCCAGCAACCTTAAAAGCCTTTGGTACATATCCCTGTAACAGAGATAGATTAATCACATCTAAAATGGAGGAGGAGATCAAAGGGAATACCTCCTTAAATAACCTGGTTGGAACTGGATCTAACATCCAAGTTGAAGGCTTAGATGAAGACAATAATTTTGCAAATTCAGAAAGTTCAACTGGATCAAAGCAGTCTAAACCCGGTTCAGATTCCATGACTACCTCAGGTACAATCGCGGATAGAGGAGTGCTTATGATCTTATTTTTAATAAGATCAATCTTATTTATAAAGAATCCCATAAAATCATTGCTGCTAAGGAATGATTTTATCAAAAACTAATCAAAAACTAAAATTGGACGCTGTATTTTACTTTAACAATCACACTTTTTAATCACACTTAAGTTTACAATTTGTGTTTAAGGAGCCCCCGCTGCATTTTGGAACTCTAGAGACTTGATTACATAGTGAGCTAAAAGGCTAATACTCCCTTAACCTAAAAAATCTCTCATGCATTTGTTTCCCAGATCTATTTAAATGCTTACAGTCTTTGCAACTGTTATATGACGTTTGGTTCTCATTGTTACTTAAACTGAAAATCCAATTTTAATACAAAATAGGGATGACACCTTCAATGTTTTTGTGTGCAGTGGAGGGAGCACAGATTAGAAAATGCAAACTATGAAACTCAGTAATTAATCCCTGAATGCCAACACTAATCCCTGCAGCCTTATGGTTTAAATCCATTAAATACTCCTCGTACAAATGCTTATTGATGCAAGACTGAATTCCTTGGCCATTTGTTTTGCAGACATTGCATGAATGACACAAGCGTAAAGCCTTTCTAATGAGGAAACATTCTGTCTGCAGGTGCATTTTTCAACCAATAGGAATCTGTATAACCTCATTAATGCAAGAGTTGGAAGCTCTGGTCTGTGTTAGAAGCACAGTGTGGGTGTTTAAATGTTAAGTATTCAGATGAAAAATATGCTCCAGTGTATATTGAGTTGTGTTATAAATGGCCAAGAATCTAAAGCAGGGGTGTCAAACTCATTTTCAATGAGGGCCGCATCAGCGTAATTGCTGTTCTTAAAGGGCCAGATGTAACTTATAAATGTAACTAAATGTAATTGAATGTAATGTAAAATAAATGTAACGACTCCTTAATGTTAAATAACTCATTATTTATTATAACTCATTCAAGTGACAATTACAGTTGCATAGAAAACAAATGCTTGCTTGTTGCTCTAACACACGTGTCACACAGCCGCTTCCTACCCAGTCCTCCTCATCGGTCTCTCCCCCTCCGCCCGAATCACTATCATCGATATTTTGAAGCGTTTCTAAAGCCTGTTTCGCTGTTAGGTTTCTTCTGAATGCCACTTTTTCCATATTAGCCAAAAAGTTCTAGGTAGAATGTTGGTTGCTAGGCAACGAAATTTACAATGCAACTAATTGAGCCGTCAAAATGGCGGTTGTGGGGGATCGAGGTAGAATTAACCATATTTATTTTTTACGTTTTAATTGTATTAAAAAAAAAGTGAAAATGAATGAAATATAGAAACTGGAAAAGTCAGTTAACATGAGCAACATAAATTTAATTTTAAATATAGTTCTTTCCCTTTAAAATCTCAGAACCATCAAAATGACGGCTGTGGGAGTTCTAGCGGGCCACATAAAAGGACATGGACATCTGGCCCGCGGGCCTTGAGTTTGACACATGTGATCTAAAGGTTTTGTAATTAAGGAATTACTTTTTCCAAGTTAACTTGATGAAGTCTTCTATAATGACACTGAATCTCTTCAATATCTCTATCAGATCTCTGATATCAGATGGAGCTTGGCCATTTAAGGCTTTATATGTGAGAAGGAGGATTGTAAATTCTATTCTGGATTTAACAAGAAGCCAATGAAGAGAAGCCAGGATAGGAGAGATGTGATCTCTCTTTTTCATTTTCATCAGAACTCTGGCTGCAGCATTTTGGATCAGCTGAAGGCTTTTTACTATGGTTTGATTTAGACTTAGACAAACGTTATTGTCATTTTGTATACACATACTCTATACAAAATGACAATGAAATTTCAGGTTGGGGGGCTAGCGGGTAAGTTACCACGATGCAGAAGAGTGCATTCTCAACCTCCTGTTTGAGACTCTTACACTGACTGGCTTGGGAGCAAACAGAGGCTGGAACGTAAAGGCGGTTAGGGGAACCCCCTCTGGGATCTGGGGCCTTCGTCAGGCCTCTTTGAATGGCCCTCTCCAAATCCCAGGTTAGTGCTGCAACGACACAGGAGGGAGGAAGGACGGGCTCTGGGGATTTGGGGAGGTCGTCGTGAATGAATTTCCTAGAGGGGGCATCTGGCTTGACATTATGTAAACTGACAGTAAGTAATGTTTAAGTTGAACCTTGAAAAGAACAGAGTCTAGCGGGTTTGGCAAGAGTTTAATATCTTGGTAGTTTGGAGATAGGAAAGGTTCTTGTGGCCAGTCCAAACAACAACTGGAAGTTCTGTACCCTCGAGCCAATTCCTCCATTCTTCTAGGGCTAGTTTGATGGCTAAGAGTTCTCTATCTCCTATATCGTAATTTCTTCCAGAAGGAGAGAATCTTTTTGAAAAGAAAGCACAAGGATGGAGTTTATTGTCTAATTACGACCCTTCAGAGAGAATGGCTCCTACCCATATGTCTGAAGCATCAACCTTGAGGATAAACTGGGCAGAAGGGTCAGGATGAATCAGAATTCAGGTTTGTGAGAACTGGGCCTTGAGTTCTGTAAAGGCCTTCTGGGCTTTAGGGGTCCAGAGAAAGGGCCTCTTACTTGAAGTGAGGGCAGTGATACTGAAGATGCGAATGAACATCCTGTTGAAATCTGAAAAGCCTAGGAACCTCTGGAGCTGTTTTCTGAAGTCTGGAGTGGGCCAATCCCACTCTAAACATTGTTTTGATCTTAGCAGGGTCCATCTTACATGTGTCTTGTGTTCCTCCTTGTCCTTGGATAAGACCAGAATGTCATCAATATAAACAAAAACAAAAATGTTAAAAAAAGTTCCTCAGGACATCATTAATGAGTGCCTGGAAAACTGCAGGCGCATTAGAGCGGCCGAAAGGCATGAACAGGTATTCGAAGTGTCCAATGTGAGTTTTAAAGGCTGTTTTCCTCTCAGATTCTAACCAAATGGTAAGCGAATCAAAGGTCCAATTTAGTGAAAACAGTGGGTTTACATACAGACTCGAAGGCTGAAGAAATGAGAGGCAGAAGTATTTATTTTTCACCATGAGCTGGTTGAGTTCCCGATAATCAATGCAGGGACAAACCGTCTTGTCCTTCTTTTGCACGAAAAAGAAAGCTGCACCAATAGGCGATGTAGTAGATCGAAATTTACCAGCCTACAGGGAGCCGTTAGTGTATTTCTCCATGGCTAGTCATTCAGGTTGGGATCTGAATGGAAAATAGTGAAATGATGCCGGGCAGCCAGCTTCCTGGGTGCTCAGTAGAGACTGACACGGGAGTGGATTTTCACTCCTGTCCTGTCCCACTCCCACAGAAAAAAATGGTGTCCCGTCCCGATCCCGGGCCAGAGTAGAAATCTAAATTCTGTCCCGTCCCACTCCTGGTGAATTACTCCCGCTCCCATTCAGAATGACTCCCGCTCCTGCACCAGTCCCATTCTTGTTGTTTTTGAGCGCGGGTGAAAAACTCAAAGCGGAAGTTACTATTGGTTTGCTCCCGCTCCCGTCTGCTCCCGTTAATGTTTAATCCTGTACCGTCCCAATCCCGTGATCGTTACTAATACTGACTCCCATCCCATGGGAATCCCACGGGAATCCCGTGACCCGTGGGATTCCCGAAAAAATGTCAGTCTCTAGTGCTCAGCATGTTTCAGCACCTATTAAACCTATTAAATAGTTTCATACTATTAAACCTGCTGCGCAGTTCTGGTTTCTTCTGACATAAGCCTGTTTTGTGGTTGATAGGATCCAGAAGACTAAGAATTTACACAATACTTAATATTATCCTGGTGCTTTTAAATTCAATGTTAAAACATTTCTTAATTTCCTCAGACCCTCTTAGAGGGGTTTAATACTTCTCTCTTTTTTTTACCTCTGATATGTTTTCATGTTTGAAGGTTAGTTTGGAATCAGCTGCCTGGTTGACAACTCGCCATAAATTTAGCAAAATTCTGAAGTCAGGTCATAAAAGCAAGCAAAGCTGACAGAGGCCCTGGAAATTTCTCCTGCATGTAAAAGCAGCATTTCATATATTTGCTAAAGAATTAAATTCTTTGTTCCTCATCTCCATCTGCAGGTTGTCCTTGGAAAGTACCACTGGCTGTCCTATAAGGAGGCCCTGACAGCAGCCATTCAGCTGGGTAGAGGTTTGGCATCTTTGGGTCAACAGCCAAAAACCAACATCGCCATCTTCTGTGAGACCCGAGCAGAGTGGTTGATCGCTGCTCAGGCCTGCTTTGCATATAACTTCCCATGTAAGTGAATGTCCTCTAAAGCTGGAGAGTCTCAGTAAAACCATTTTATTTCTCAGCTTTAGGGATAGTTTGTTCCAGTGCAGCACTTATATGTGGCCTGAGACAGAAACAGAGAGAGACAGAAAAGAATATCCGATTTTTCTTGACTGTATGATCGGGTTGAACTGTAAAGTGCCTTGATATTACTTGTGTTGTGTGAATTGGCGCTATATAAATAAACTGAATTGAATTAAATTTTCCTTGGTTGCTATTTTTCTTCCATATAGCACTTCTTCAAAATAAATTTTCAAACATGGGGAGTCTCATTAGTGCTTTTGAAGAACATTGTTATCTGATCTGTTCTGCGTTCTGTAACCTTAGCACAAACCTAATTTTATTTCATGTACATGCAAGCGCCGTGTTGGTTTCTTACTGCTGCAATAGGTCCTTTAACAATTAGAGGGAGCTAGTGAGTAAGAACCCAGCGAACATAGAACAGATCAGGTTTCAATGCAGAGTTTTTATTTTCCTTAGATAATTTCTTTAAAAAAAAAATGTTTTCTTTAAAAAAATAAAAGCTCAGTGAAACTGAGCCAGGGACAGAGATGCTTTGGGTCCAGGATAATTGTGTCCTTAATTCCACATTAAAAGACCAGTAAAAGGCGGAAATTACGGCACCAGAATCCACAGAAAAAAAAAGTCACTTCCTTTGCTCCCCCTTGCAGTCTCGCCATTTGCTCCCTCGCACTGTGTCACACTGTGTTGTATGTGTCGCAGTGGTTGCAGGACAGCCTGCCCTCGGCAGGTCTTTAAAACAGCTTATAGGCTGCCCTCAGCAGGTCTGTAAAACAGCTGGCAGACTGCCCTCGGCAGGTCTTTAACACTAGATGTCCCAGAGATTTTCAGTTTTCCTGCAAGCCCCCCTCCCCTCTGCAAGTTTGTGTATTCACTCTGCCTTGCTAACTGTCCCTATTGTAATGCAAATAACCTGTGATATGACCAGCCCTTCTACATTAAGACTGGATAAAGGCTGAAACAAACTGGCATCAAGACCAAGTTCCAAGCACTTTTCAGTACCTGCCCCTGCAACATCATACCTTTTTGCAGGAATATATTTATATGTCATATCTAAATTTTTATTTAGGCAAACCTATTGAACAACCAGATATCATAGTGGTCCTAGTTCCTGAGCTGAGAACAAGTCATAACCATGATTTTCCAACAAGGCAAGGCAGAGCCTATTTCTATTGTCCATTCACCAACAGACTCATTTATATTGCAAAGCTCACTATATGAAAGAAAGAATAATTGTATTTTGTCTTGTCTCGCCTTTTTATGTCATTCAAAATTTAATCTTAGAGAATGACAAACAGTATGCCTTTAGTATTGGAGTAACATATATGTCACAAAAGGAACAGCCCTAGTCTCTTCATCTCACAATGCTGTCTCATGTGTTCTTCCTTTATTGCCTTTTCTTGCATACAAATGTTACGAAGTTCATTTGCAAGTAGCAGAATTAACTTTGGTGGACTCTCTTTGGTCCCTGTGCATGGCTTGTACAACACATGCTCGTCTGTTGCAGCCAAGCTTGTACGCCAAGCCAAGCCAAGCTTGAAATCTCAATAATTCTGAGTCGATCTGCTGGGCCTATTTATTCTGGGAGCTAGACTTCCCACCCACAACCTTTACATTTCCACCTGCCGCCAGATTGGAATTTGAGCTGGAAACGGGTTTCCAGCACAAAACCGGCTTTCCGCTGGAAATCGTGAGCGGATGATGTTTGCTTGTTTGCCCTCTAGTAAATATGGCAGATGGTCATTGTTGTATAAATATTCTTGTCAGCTGATGGAAATATTTTCATTGTACAGATCAGTTGGGGGGACTGGAGCCCAATTCCCACCCCAAACAGCTCAATTTTGAAAAACAACAGACAGAAGGTATAGCCTCAGAAAGTTTTTTTTTTTTTTTTTCAGATAAAGAAAAACAGTCTACATATGGATAAAGCACTAAATATAATGTGGAAAAATGTAAAATGCAATTGTCCCATCTAGCAGTTTCCTAATTCCCATGGTGAGCCTTTCCTACATTTGCCACAGGTAAATTTGCCGCAGTGGACACAACGTTCAGTACTTCTGTTGTTATTGCAGAGTATGCGCACCTGGCATTGAGTCTTTTTTCTGCTGGGAAACTCTCATCTCACGACGTAGCTGTTTTTGCTCTTCCTCTTGTGTCTTTTCCTGCAGGAGCCTGTTTTTGAGTTCCTCTGAAAGCTCCAGCATGAACAGTCGACGACTTTCTTTGGATCCTGTACACGCTGTGTACAAAACATGTGCATTTGTGGCGGCCATGTCAAGCAGGTTATAAAACACAGCCATAGGCCACCTCCGTGTTCCTGCACGCACAGAGTAGTTGCGCAGTTTCTGGTCCATAATATCAACACCACATTTGAGATGGTTGTAATCAACCACAGTGTTTGGTTTTTGTTTTTGAATGTCCACAATTTCCACTCTGTGATGCATGGTACTCAGAAGAAAGACAGATTTCTTTTTTTTTGTCGCATACACCATCAGCAAGGCACTTCCAGATTTGAGGACCTGCGTGGAGTGCAACTGGCGCCCCGAGGTTTCCTTTGCAGTTGCTGGTAGCTCCCGACGGATTTTGTTGATGGTGCCAAGCAGAGTTGTATTTCGCTGAAGGAGCCTGTTAGCCAAAGACAGAGAGGTGAAGAAATTGTCCATAGCTACAGTCCTTCCCTTGTCCAAAAATGGTTCCATCAATTTCAGAACAACGTTCTCTGACAACCTCTCTCCTTTTGGACGAGTGGGATCCTTTCCCAAGTAAGGGATGGCATTACACATGTATTTTGTGTCCAGATCTGCTGCAATCCAAAACTTGATTCCAAACTTGTCAGGCTTGGATGCAATGTACTGCAAAAAGGGGCACCGAACCTTGGACGGAAACAGCTGCTCATCCACAGTAACATGCTGCCCTGGACTGTAGGACGACACACAGTTCTGAACAAACCGCATCCAGATGTCAGAAATTGCTGCAAATTTGTCATTGTGTATGCGTTCCTTGCGGGTGTCCTTGTTGCCAAAACGAAGGTACCGTCTTATTCCAAAAAAACGGTTACGAGGCATTATGGGTTTGATATCTGCGTTTCCGAATTTATTGGCCCACATGTGTCGCATGGGACCAATGTAACCCATGGCAGCCCTTCTAAAAAGGATTGCGAGGAAAGCCATCAGCTCGTAGACACTCATCTGCCAGCTGGGATTTGTTCTGCGGGCCTCGTGGACTGTGCAGTCTCTGATGGTCAGCAACATGTTCATATCCAACAAACACAGGAAGCTGCGAAGGCGGCTTGTGATTTTGCGCTTCGCAGAATCTGTTGGCCCTCTGGATCCATTGAAGGCAGTCTGTGGGGTTTCAGGAACAGAAAAGTCTTCAACTTTCCAGTGGGACCAAACAGTGCCATCTTTCGCCTTCTCTGTGGATCCAGGCATTGTGCCAACATCAGCAGTTTTTTGTTTTTTGCAAGGAGGGGAGTTGCCGCGCACTGTGTCTTCCTCTTCATCTGATGTAGCCTCAGTGTTTGAACTGTCCCGCTCAGTCATATAATTGACCACTCGGCCCCTGGTGCGTCTTTGGAGGGGAGGATTTGCTGGTGCAAAAGCAGTCGCATTCTCATATGAATCATCCTCTTCACTTGAAGAATCGGTTGCGCCGTTTTCATTCTGAAATGCTAAGTCTCCAACAGATCCACCATCAGATTCGTAGTCTGGCATGCTCTGAAGCATGGCTAAAGCCTCTTGAGCGTTCATCCTTCTTGGTCGCCTTGGTTGTGCCATGGTGAATTCCGGGTGAATTCTGAGTCTGTGTGCTGTGCCTGCTCTATTTATCCCCACAGAAATTCTGTAAATTACTCAACTCCTTGAAAAAGCTCATTTAAAACACAAAGAGAGGCAACTTTAACAAATAAACCCCAGCACACCAGCTGAAGTCACCAAACCACATTCCTACATTTGCATTTGATTTGAAAATGGAGCACCAGAGGAGAGCCGTTAACACCTTTGGGCGGATACTTGATACAAACTAGGTGCAGACTAAAGTCTGCACTTTGGGACTTCTAGTGTTAAAACAGCTTATAGGCTGCCCTCGGCAGGTCTGTAAAACAGCTGACAGCCTGCCCTCGGCAGGTCTGTAAAACAGCTGATAGGCTGCCCTCGGCAGGTCTGTAAAACAGCTGGCAGCCTGCCCTCGGCAGGTCTGTAAAACAGCTGATAGGCTGCCCTCGGCAAGTCTGTAAAACAGCTGATAGCCTGCCCTCGGCAGGTCTTTAAAACAGCTGGCAGCCTGCCCTCGGCAGGTCTGTAAACAGCTGATAGTCTGCCCTCGGCAGGTCTGTAAAACAGCTGACAGGCTGCCCTCGGCAGGTCTGTAAAAAAGCTGACAGCCTGCCCTTGGCAGGTCTTTAAAACAGCTGGCAGACTGCCCTCGGCAGGTCTGTAAAACAGCTGGCAGCCTGCCCTCGGCAGGTCTGATAAAACAGCTGACAGGCTGCCCTCGGCAGGTCTGTAAAACAGCTTATAGGCTGCCCTCGGCAGGTCTGTAAAACAGCTGGCAGGCTGCCCTCGGCAGGTCTGTAAAAAAGCTGACAGCCTGCCCTCGGCAGGTCTGATAAAACAGCTGACAGGCTGCCCTCGGCAGGTCTGTAAAACAGCTTATAGGCTGCCCTCGGCAGGTCTGTAAAACAGCTGGCAGGCTGCCCTCGGCAGGTCTGTAAAAAAGCTGACAGCCTGCCCTTGGCAGGTCTTTAAAACAGCTGGCAGACTGCCCTCGGCAGGTCTGTAAAAAAGCTGACAGCCTGCCCTTGGCAGGTCTTTAAAACAGCTGGCAGACTGCCCTCGGCAGGTCTGTAAAACAGCTGGCAGCCTGCCCTCGGCAGGTCTGATAAAACAGCTGACAGGCTGCCCTCGGCAGGTCTGTAAAACAGCTTATAGGCTGCCCTCGGCAGGTCT